TCTTGTACTGGCCCTTTAAGTGATGGGTCCCAGAGGGTTCTGGTCTCAGTCCCCTGGTCTTCTCACTCCACCTGGTTCCCTGACTGCCTCACCCACATCCATAAGTGCAGTCAGGAGGTTTAGGTGCTGTCCATCTCTTTCTGAGATCCCGACCCCATGTCCAGTGGCCACCTGGAGCCACAGACACCTCACACCCTACCTGCTCAAAGCTGAACTCACCGAAATTTCCCAGACCTGCTCTTACCTTTTCTTCCACCTTGAGGAATGGCCCACCCAAGCACCCAGCCACCCAAGCCAGAAATCTGAGCATCATCTGAATTCTTCCCTTCCTTCCCCTCTGAATATAATTACTCTCCAAAGCCTATAGGTGCTACCTCCTCAAAGATCTCTAGACATGGTCATCTTTCTGCTCCCATGGCCCCTCTCTAGTCCAGGCCAGCTTGCTTTAATACCTTCTGTTTCTAGCTAGTCCTCTACAAGGCAGCCAGAATGATCTTTCTGAAGTACAATCTGACCAGGTGCCTCTAAATGGCTTTGGATCAAACCCAAGCTCCTAGCCTAAGGCCCTTCTTGCTCTAGCTCCTATAAACCTCCGCATCTTCATTTCTCAACTCCTTCCTTTATATTCTCTCCAGCCAGACTGTACGTTTGGCTCTCTAACAACATCATCTCTCATCCTGGACTTTAAACAGTGTCCACTTCTGCCTGTGGGGCCCTCTCCTGATCCCCTTCCCCTCACTCCAGCTGGGTCAGGTCCCTGTGCCGGGGCTCCCACATCATCCACCCCCATAGCACATAACTCATTCTACCAGAATCGCCAGTTCACACTGTATTCTCAAGCTCTGTGCCTCCAGCACTTAGCGTAATAACTGCCATAGAGTAAGATCAATCACCATTTGTTTGCTGAATGAATAATATCATTTAATCATTTCCAACTGCTGTAACAAAGGTGGAAAGTCAGGAACCATGTGGTGGAAAAGAGAGACACACGAGAAGCCCAGCTCTTAGGTTTACAGTGCAACTCACGTTTTTGTGAGGAATGACATGAGGAATGTACTGCAGGATCAACTGTGCCCGTTTTCTGTCCTTGTCGAGTTCTTGGAAGAGCACACTAGGTTTGAGATCCCTTAAGAAGAAAGACACAGGTTTGGAATAATTAAAACATGAAAAGCATTTCCTAGTGCAGGGTTGGGATACTATGGCATGTGGGTCAAATCCTGCCTGCTGCCTGTTTTTGTAGTTTTACTGGAACACAACCATACTCATTCATACGTGTATTGTCTATGGCTGCTTTTGTGCTACAAGAGCAGAGGTGAGTAGCCCTTTGTGGGCCTAAAAACACCTGGCCCTTTACAGAAGAAGTCTGCCAGTCCCTGCTCCAGTGCCATAGCTTCAATGTTACATAAGAGTTGAAATGTCAATGATAAAGATATTGACATGCTCTTATGTTCAGCTGTTGTAGGAAGATCCCCCCACCCAATTCCCTGCTCCAGTGCCATAGCTTCAATGTTACATAAGAGTTGAAATGTCAATGATAAAGATACTGACATGCTCTTATGTTCAGCTGTTGTAGGAAGATCCCCCCACCCAATTCCCCAAAACACCTAAAAGCAGTTTTTACTCTGGTAAGTCTGCTGATAAATACTGCTATTTAACTATCATACCCTGATGCTCAGCTCAGCTGAAAGCCCTTCTCTTCCCAGCCTGGATAAAAAAAAATCTGCTAAATATGCCTTGGCTTGTTGCCATTAATTATATTCAGTATAGGCATCTCTTAACAGATGACTGCTAGGTGATGCATCCTGACAGGTGCGTCACAGGAACAGCAGCTCTCCTTATGCAGACGAGCGGACAGGATGAAGGAGGGGAAGACATCCTCTCTGCCCTAGAACATGAGTGGGAGCACTTGGGCACCTCTACTGTGGGCAGCATGATGGGGCAGGCTCTGGCTCCATATGCCCCCCACCCCTGGTGCTCACTTTCGCAGCCAGTGGTCCTCAGGGGCGAAGCGCCGCCGGCAGTCCCGTTCATAGAGCACCATCAGCCACCCGTGGACAGACTGGAACAGCTCCAAAGTCCCACCTTTGGCATTCTCTGTGGGGCAAACAAAGGGGAGAGTCACATTCACAAAAGAGAAGTCAGAAGTAGAGCAGTGGGAGGAGCACTCTTTCTCCTGTGGTCATCATCAAGTCCTTGATCTCCCTCACTCTGAATTTCACACAGAACAGAAGGAATTAAAAGGCACCCTGCGTATGTTCTACGAGATTGTAGGGCCTGACCATCTCCTAGACACAATGACTCCTGCTGCCTCCCGCTAGCATACTGTCCAAAGGTCCTTTTTAATCTAAGGAGCTTTGTACTGAACAACTGGAAACACGTCAGGAGGTTGACTCTCATTTGAAGTGTAAACTGGCACACATTTTATCTTCATGGAAATCAACTCAAAGAATCAAAAGGAGATTCAGGGCAAATTAATCATCATTAATAATCCGTGACACATACATGCAAATCCTGCAGGATGCCTGAGACTTCTACAACCACACTACTATCTTAAAAGGTCATAGATAGAGAGTGAAGAAATAAAATTTCCGGGCCGGCCTGTGGCTCACTTGGGAGAGTGTGGTGCTGATAACACCAAGGCCACGGGTTCGGATCCCATATAGGGATGGCTGGTTCGGTCACTGGGTGAGCATGGTGCTGACAACACCAAGTCAAGGGTTAAGATCCCCTTACTGATCATCTTTAAAAAAAAAAAGAAATAAAATTTCCAATTATGTGAATAAATGTGCATTTTCTATTAAACTTTGATGACAATAAAGCTAAAATCAGTTGATGTAACACTGACTCTTTGGCTTCCCTGAATGCAGCACCAATTGAATGACGATGGACACCTTTACCTTACCTACGATTCCATCCCAGATCATCTTAAACACAAAGGAATTCAAAAAAGAGGAAATGGTGACCAGCTCTTCCAGTTTGAATGAAATTTGTTCTTCATAAACTTCAATGTCATCAAGGATCCTAAATGAGACAGAAAATTATTCAGAATTCCCACTAAGAAAAAAGAAAAGAACTGTTATCAGTTATTAGACAAAACAAACATGGTTAAGAAATAAGCTCTATCTTTTAGAGATACTTATTATAAAATTTACAGATAAAATAAGATTTCTAGGATCTGCTACAAAATAATCTGGAAGAGGAGAGCAAGTGAGAGTTTAGACAATGCAAAACTGGCCATGAGTTGATAACTGCTGATCTGGTGATGGGCACATGAGGGTTCATTATACTGTTCTATTTTCTTGTTATTTGAAATTATCTGCAGTAAAAAGTTAAAAGTACAATTATGAAAAAAATAAGCAATAAGCTCTACTCTATATTTTTCTTATTCATAAAGACCTGACTGAGACACTCGCTTAATTCAAACCTGAATTCACGCCTTATTCATGCCTGAATATCAAGGAATCTTTTTTTTTTTTTTTTTTTTTTTTCCTTTTTGAGACCGGCTGCCCCCCC